ACTGGAAAACTCGACCAGCAGAAGCACCAACCCTTGAACCAAAACAACAAGTATAGCCCAGCTCGAGATTTAGAGCCTGTTACCCTTCAACAGCGGCCACACATCCCATGCCAACCAAACAGATCTGGTGAAAGCCATGCTAAAGTGGGCCAGGGTTCTGAACACATCTCTAAGTTCTAGTTTCAGGTTCAGACATGTGCGACGTGTGCTCATGCTGCGACAACTAACTGTGAGCGAGACTGGAAGCCAACTTAGTTCGGTAAACCCCAAAGTACGCCAACGATTCTCGAGAAGACTTCCTCAAGCTGCTGGGTGGAAGAAACCACACAGGAGGAGAGATCCACTGCTCTCTCAAACGATCTCATCTGCTGCAAGCCAAGGTTGCGCTGTAGGATACGGAAACCCGTGCGGTAGACTCTACATGTTTCCTGCCGTGAAAAGATCTCCCAAAGCCCGAAGGAAACAGATTCGCGATTCCCTGGACAACCAAGGCATGGACTCGACACATTACGAAGCTGCAACATCGACTGTGCAGATGCGGTCACACCCACTCCAAAGCGCAGCAGGCCCGACGAAGACGCAACACTGCGATGAGCACAGCTCCCGAAATAGCTCCCCAGAGTTAGAGGTAGTTACACACAGAAAAGAAGCCCCAAACTTTCAGGTTGAGGACTTGGGCACGTAACCAGCCTATATCCTAAACTCTAAATATCTGACCCCAGTCGTTTTAACTTGAGCCTCTGAAGACGACAAGCAGCCGGCTGTGAAAAGGTTGCAAGAGCGATGGGCTGAGTTTGAACCTTGGCCTTTGAGTGTCTTTTGGTTGGTGGCTAAGTGCTTGAACACATAGTTGAATGTATGAACATGACCAAGACTCTTAGATGAAGCTACCATCTCGTCATGATCCTGAATCTCAAGACAAGTAGTACCTGAGGGACAGCTAACCTAGAGCAAAAGACTCTCTCCCCAACCGTTGGCCCCAAACGCCAGATCGGAACGCTACACTTCAAACTCCTGTTCCAAGGACCGTGATCACCAAAACCCTAAACCGCAAAGGAAGAAGCTTACTGCGACCACTTGCAACGTGCGAGTCTGCTGCCCAACTAAGTGGAGCCCACAGTCATCTATGCCGCAAGTCACTCTCCGCCTGTGCTGAGATTTTGGCTTTGGGTAGTGGAAAGCTGCAAGCCTGAAGTGGTTAAACCACTAAGACCAAGAGCACTCAACCTCTAAACCCTCACCCTCGACTCGAGTGCCCAGGGTCCCAGGTAGGGTTTGAGAGGTTTCGACTCGCACACTCGCACTCGGGAGGGTTTTGGGGTTTACAGGGTTTAGGGTTAAGGGGTTTAGGGTTTATAGGGTTTAGGGTTTAGGTTTATTGCCTCCCATGCCGGTTTGGGGTATTAGCGGTTTAGGGTTTCGGGTTTACGTAGCCCTGGGAGCCATGTGCACTCGAAATGAGATGGTTATCGCTCAGGGCGTAGGACCGGGAGCTATAAAAAGGCAAGTGTTCGGCGTTTTGAGTGTCTAAGGCTCAGGATTTAGGCTTGAGGGGTTAGGAATTCAGACGTCAGAATAAGGGCTTTCAGGGTCTTAGTTTTGAGGATGCTTCCTGGCAGCACCTTGCAAATCCTTCCTAAACCCTAAACCCCGGAAGGGTGCCGACCATTAGTGGAACTGTCAACTGTCGAAGATGAGGGAGGACTCCGAACTGCCTAATGTCAACAAAGGCCTTTTATTCTATGTTGTACATATATTTTACGGCATCTGTAATATCATCTGATATGATACTCAAACAGTTCTCACCCATTCGTCCAGTCTTGCATTCTCCGTGCAAACACTAGAGACCAACGGCTCAGGGGCTTGAGGCCACTGTTACGTTGTATTACCGTTTAGGGCTTATAGGGGTTTAGGGGTTTATAGGGGTTTAGGGTTTAGGGTTTATAGGGGTTTAGGGGTTTATAGGGTTTATAGGGGTTATAGGGGTTAGGGTTTAGGGTTTATAGGGGTTTAGGGATGTATTACCGTCGGTTCCCAACGGATTTCCACTAGACACCGCACTCGTTCAACCAACGCAGGCTGTGCGGACAAGGCTCGGTGTCTCCCAGGACAACAAAATCACGTACGAATTCCGTCCTAGGGTTTCGACTCTCACACTCGCACAAGGCCGGCAAGGCTCCGCACAGTGCTAGGGTTTGGGGTTTCGGGTATAGGGGCTGAGGGACGCTCGCTTTCTGCAAATCACGGTCTCAATGCTCAACTGCCCCAACCTGACAACTACAAGCCCAAGCCAAGGCCAATCCCAATTGCAACAGCGACATACAGCAATCAAGGTGGAACAGCAGCAGCAGCAGCAGCAACAACAACAACCACAACAACAACAACAACAACAACAACTCATAATCAGCGAGGTCCAAATTGAAAAGATAGTGGTGATAATACGTCTAACAAATCGACAGTCCTCCAACCCTTTGCCGAGGCCATTCACGCCGGCTCTGGGTTTGAAGGTCGTGCCCGTGCTTCAGCCACCTAAGTTCAGCCAAACGGCAAGCACATGTGCATTCTTTAGATAGAGATAGAGATGACGAAGAAACAGATACCGATATAGACGTAGATGTGGATACAGATCTAGATATAGATACAGATATAGAGACTGAACTAGATATAGACATAGATCTAAATGGTAACCTCCCATGAACTACCGACCCTCGTTTTGCATGCTCAATACCTGTCCAAACAAATGTTTTTGTTTGGTTTCACTCGAAAAAAGTGTTTGGCTGCATTTTTCCCTAGGAGGAAGTTGGTTTTGTGTGGCAAAACCAGCTTGTTTCCAAGGAAAAAAACGGTTTTGAGCCGAAAAAACAACTTTTATGTTGGAAAAAAAAACTTAGTTTCGTGCTGAAAAGAATGCAAACAAATTTATTCCTCGGGAAACCCATTCAAAACAGTTTTTCTGGAACCTGGCCGTATAGTTTCCCAACAATGTTGTTTTTGGGTTTGCCCAGGAGAAAACTATTCCCTCCATTGAAAACCATCTTTTCCATAGGAAAATTTTGGTTTTTCGGTCCAAATCCATCTTTTTCTTAGGGCAACGTGGGCTTTTCGGTCCATAATAATTTGTGTTCCTCTGAAAAGCTGCTAGTTCACTCCAATACCTTTTTTTCCCTACCTGAGTTTCTTGTTTGTACATAAGTGTGCGCATGCTCGGCATGTCCCGTGTGCGTTCGCCGCTACGACGTGCAGCTTGGTGCAATAACTAGCCGCCGCTTTTGAAATACGACGCACAAGGTATTTCACGCCAAGACCAATTTTTTCCTAGCAGAGAGTGTATATTTCAATTGTGTTTGCGCGCGTTATGAATTAGTGTTGCCAATCAGGTTCGTCGAGTGTCCTTACTATTGAGATTTAGCTTTAATACTATACAATAGGTAACCAGCACATTCTTCGGATCAGTTTTCGGGTACCTGGGGAGCTAGTAATGCAGGTTTAACACAGACCAGGACCCAGGATATCAGGGTTATCACAGCTACCACTACGATTTTTTTCTAGCTTCCTAAGGTTGTAACTTGAATAAGAGGGCTGCTGTGAGGGTGAATACCACTGACATAAGGGCGAATGACAAGGATAGGGTTAGGGTTGATGTTGTTTGGAATCAGGCGTCAATTAAGAATCCTCGTCATTAATATGTTGGCATCTAGTACAGGTTTAACCTTAGGGTAAGCAAGTGTATATACACACATAAATGTACATACACGCATACGGGCAAGCCCGACAAGTCCGAGATGATCCTATGCTACAATGAGAAAGGGGCTGCCATATACGGTATGATGAGGTAAACAAACAAATGCTGGTATCATCCCTAACAATCTAAGGGTCATCATTCGGGCAGCACCAGAGCGAAGACAGCAAGGATCGTGGTTCTTAACGGGTATCGTTTTGTGTAGCTTAATATTTGCATGAGTGTGACGGCTACCTTTGAAATACATGTGATGCAAGTATTTAGCTGTTAATTAGCCTGTTGATGAGGCCAATGGTCGGGGTTTCTCTTAAAGCCATTATTTGGGTTGCTGTTGAAGGAAGCACCTGGTACAGTACGAAGGTTACCAATGCGAACAGTTTATGGGTAATATCAACTTTGCCAGTAAGGTCCATCTTGGAGTCAAATCCAATATCAGAGTTGCCAAGGGGACTGCCATATCCGTACTATCGGGGGGCCGGTCAGGTTGACGTATGTCATTACATCAACCTTCAGGTCGGTATGGGAGGCAAAAAAGAATGTAAAATGGGGTTCAGTCGACATAGCATCTTAATCCATACGAGCTAAAACGTGAATCTACAAGGACTCTCTTTTGGGTGAACATGAAATAGAAGACTACTGTCGCAATTAGGGCCAATGTAAGGTCAGGAATATTAGTCAGTCAAGGCCCACGGTCATTCATATGCATTGCTGGGGCTTTGATCTGAGACAACAGTGAAAAAAATAACAAAAATGACTGTCATCGTTGAAAAAAGTGTCTCGGAGTATCTACGTAAAGGGTCGCAAGAATTCAGAATGACGGCTTCTGCCAGTGTCCCTTTGCGGTCTCCTCGGAACTTCAAAACCTAACGTTAAACCTGGATCATACACCAGAAGCCTCAACGTCGGAGGATTGGTGACGCTATCGCGGCCCCTCGCGATAGTTCTGGGGGGGGGTGTAGCATGCAAATACAGACATAGATACGGGCATAAAAAAGGTATAGATAATATAGATCTGAATATAGATATCGATGCAGATATGGATATAAATATAGATGGCTGGGACGCAAAACTCTGGATGGTGTTGATGCAATACAGACGTCGGATGCTGCGAAGCTGAGCCTTCGTTAGACATGCAAGTGACATTTCGCACCACCCTTGGTCTATGAATGTTGGACTTCTCGGCTCACACAGATTGCAGGGCTGCGGGCCTCCCAAGATGCTTTGCCTTGCCATGGCCAGCGCATTACTCACTCTCATGGGGTCAGGTACAAAAAAGTGTCAGCCCCTGATGTATAATAAGATGATCGAAGATGTTTTGCAGCCTGAAGTTTAACCAATTTAACCTGTGAATACTAATGCTTCGGCATGCCGCGCAGCAGGTAGCCAAGGTGTCGGCATGCCCAGGGATCTCACCATCTCCTTAGCAAATGGCATGCTTGCGAGCTCCTACTGCAGACTGTCACAGCCACAACGCCACGTCTGGGAGAAACACGCCGCTATCCCGAAATCTAGGCAACACGACGATCTGTGTCCAGATCTTTCTCTGCTCAAACGTCCCTGGTAAAAACGACTCCTGACAAACACTCCTCTCGCTCCGACCCTGCCTGTGCAAAGCAAGTGCACCACAGCGTCGTGGTTCTTCATCTCATGGGCCCTCGATGCTCACTGCGTGCATGAGGGGTGAACACTAACAATGCTGGGATGGATTCCCGGACTTTCACCAACCCGGGCAGGCTAGCACCGCCGAAAACCTGCAAGAAACAACCAGGAACCCGTCCTGTCCAGCGCTGTCTTTCCATGGGAATCTGAAATGCTGAGATCTGCCTGGCCATCAATCAAAGCCTTCCTCGGTTGTTGCTCAATCCGGAATGATGGAAAACTGTCGAACTACCTGGAGCCGTGCGCAACAATGACAGGCGGCCATACGTTAGGGACGTCCTGCACTGTTTGGTGGCTTTTCCTGTGTTACCTATGATAAGGCCAAGTGGACATAGCTATTTTTGAGGAAAAAAGGTCGCTCTTTGCACCCCTGTAGTTGGATGTTGCACCTTCTGCCACCCCACCTCCTGTAATCGCCAACATGCTCATGGATCGGATCACAAGAGCATTAAGCTTTGCTTTCAGACCTGGAATTTGATAAGAAGTCTTGGGAGTCTTGGGGAACCCCCAAAATCTGTCCCTGACGAGAGGGCTCGGCTGATGCATGAATTTTGCTTTGGCCCTCGAACGTCTGACCTGATGTTTCTTTGCATTGGCATCTCCTTTGCAAAGAGTCGCATCACAGCGAAACTTGGTAATCCAAAGAAGACAGACATGTCTACACTTTACAGCGGAATTAGAGGCCCTAGATCCTGAAACCTACATGCACCCTAGAGCCTTGCAAAATGCAAAAACACAGCGCTACATGGCTACTGGTAAGCTACTACGACACACGTTCGTTCTGATAGGACGACTGCTGCCTTGGCTCAATGCCCTGTTGTTGCCCAGCATGCTGCATATATGCAGCGCAGACATTCCGGCGGCGACCTCAGGATTTTGACGTTCTCAGCTGCAGTCAAGCACGAGATTGGAAATTGGTGCATGCTGGAAGCGAAGAGCCCCTGTTGTCTGGAAGGAATGTCGTGCCAGCTGTGCGGGGTGCACGCCATGGAAAATTCAGTCAGCAGGATGCGCATTGTAAAGCAACGTCGCATGGGGACGGTGTACAGTGATGTACAGTGTCCTCCAAAGTGCATATCTTAAGCCAGACAATCCTCAAAATGCCTAAGAATACGCCTACTTAATCTGAAAAATATCTCAGGACTCACCCTCACTGCTATACCCTAGAGAGACCCGGGACCCTGAACCCGAAATTGGGCCCTAAACCCGAAACAGTTCACTTCACTACACCCCGCACTCGAAAACCCTCTAGAGCCCTAAACCCTCAAATCCTAAAGCCCCACAGCCCCAAACCCTAAATACCCAATCCCCGAATACAGTAAGAGCCCTTTAAGCTGAAGCCTAAAGTCCGAAACGCCCTAAACCCAACCCAAAGCTCTCCCAGCCACGTTCAGGATTGGCTCCGACTCCGGTACCTGATAGTTCACGTCAGCCTCTGTCGGATACCAAGGTGGTCTCTTAGCGTTCGGCTCAGGGTTTAGGGTTTTGATTATTTCCGTAACAGCTCGCTACGTTACAGGTTTCCTTGGCTATTAGCAGAAGGGCACTCATAGTTAGAATGGGGATCTGGGGGTACTCTATGTGTACTCTGGCTAGAACCAGAAACCCAGAGGAAGATTATGAGTGACTATTCAGACCTCTATACTACGACCTTTAAGCTTCTTGGTTCCTTGACGGGTCCCAAAAGCGCTTAGGGTTCAGGGCTTACGGTTTCCGATTGAGGTTTGTTGAAGGGGCAGCTGCTAGCCGAAATTCTGCAAAATCCTCCGAAGTCTCATTCCCGGCAACTAAACGTGTGCAGTGTGTTTTATGGCACTCGAAAAATTCTGCGAGTCATCTTGGCGATAAACCGTACGATGCGGGCCCTAAACGAAGACTGGATCATATGTATTTATACATGTACATATATATATATATACATACATACATACATACATACATACATACATACACACACACGTGTATATGTACACTGTAACACTTATGTATTTACGTACATAGGTATATATATATATACACATGTATATACGTCCATATATATATATATGTATATATGTATATATATATATATGACACTTATGTATATATATATATATATATATATGTGTGTGTGTATATATATATATAAGTGTTCATAAAGACATATGAGACGGGTGTACACATGAAGAAATGTGTATGTTTTTTAGGCGTCGAGGTGGGTGTCCTGAAGGCCCAGGCCTCTGCATTCAAAAGTTCTGCCACGAGCGAGGCTCCACCTGACGACCAGAATGGGCTCAAGCTTGCGAGACGCCGGGATTAGGGTTTAGGATTGAGTAGTACTACTGATAGTGATAACCACGACAAGAATATCTTTGCTGTTATTCAGCACTTCTTGCAACTACCCTGAAACCGAGACAGTTTTCTACAGCAACGGGTGCAGGGTTCAGGTGGCTACGCTGCCGACTAAAAGCTTCGGAAGTCCGACTCCGAGGCTTCTCCTTCTAAGATCTACAGACCCTGAATGTAGGGGCCTTAATAACTAATTAGACCAGGGTTTTGGGCTCCTTTATAGTA